GAGACTCCGCCCCGGGCTGGGCCGGTTGGTGCGCAGGGCTGGGGCGCATCCCCAGGCACCCGCCGGGAGGCCCCAGCTGTCCCGGGAAAGTCACCGCCCGGCAAGCGCTGTGCCCAGTGCTGTCCACCCACCATCGGGTCACTGAACCTTCTCAGTGTCACCGGTGCAAAAACCGAGGCTCGGAACTGGAAGTCAGAGTCACGGGCCTGACCGCAGGGCTGTGCTCCAGGAGCGTGGCCTCCCCGGAGATGGTGACCTGCAGGTAACTGATTGACGCCGCTACTCATTCAATAAATATTTATCATGCCGGCCTGGCCAACAAGAGCAACAAGGTCCCTGCGATCGCAGGGTGTACAGACTCCGCGCCTGAGGTGCTGGACAGCAGCATCCAAGGAGCCTGGCCAGGCTGAGGGTCCCTGCTACAGGCAGACCTCGCCGACTTGGTTGGGGGGTATCTCCAGGGGTCCAATCAGCTTTCAAGTCTGCTCAGGCATTCCTCCTTCATCTTGTACAAAATTCTTGCTGATTTGGGGATCATGAAGCCTGCCTCTGCCACCTTTCCCTGCCCCTTTGTCGTTCTCGGCCCTCCTCTCCTCACCCCAGTCGGGGAACACGGTGCCAGCAGGCTCAGGGCCTTCATCTCCACCTGAAACCCTGCCATCGTCACTGGTGTCTTCAGAGGACCCTCCGTGGACACCCCATGGGCAGCCCAGCCTCTTTGATTGGTGAGAGCACCTGTCTAGGACCTAACCCTCCGCCCACCCACTGCATGGCCGGGCCCTGGGCCTCCTCACACTCTGAATTGCTTTGCTTTGAGAGTCCTTTCCCATCCTTGCAGCCGTCCCACTCCTTTGTCCCCCCATACCTGTTCCCTGACCTAAATGATACTTTAGCCCCTTAGTCTTCCAGCCCCTTATCCAGTCCAGACCTCGCAAATGACCACCTGAACTACATCGTGGTCTTTTTAAAAAAAAAAACAACACATATATATCTTTATTGATTTCAGAGAGAGGAAAGGAGAGGGAGAGAGAGATAGAAACATTAATGATGAGAGAGTCATTGATCGGCTGCCTGCTGCACACCCCCAACCGGGGATCGAGCCCGCAACCCAGGCATGTGCCCTGACTGGGAATCGAACCCCAATCGCCTGGATCCTAGGTCGAAGCTCAACCGCTGAGCCACACCCGGCCAGGCTACACCGTGGTCTTAAGCTGGGTTTCCTAGAAGCAGAGCTCAGGAGGGGATTTTGAGGGAAGTGGGATAGAGCAGGGAAAGAAGCCAGACAGAGACGGGGTCTCACTGGAGCCTAACTTTAGCCTGGTCCATAGGAGATCCCACAGGCCAGCCCTTGGGGCCCCCTGGTCTGTCAGCCACTGACTGCTGGCCTCTCCGGGGGTCTGGGTATGAGCCCCCTGGCAAAGCAGCCTCTGCTGGCCGAGTCCTTAGTCGCCCGCTCAGCAGTGGGGGGGTGCCGGGCTCTCTACAGGGGACGAGGCAGTCGCAAGGCTCTGCCTCAGGTGGTGATCTCAACTTCCTGGCTCCGCCTCTCCAACCCCACAAAATCCTGTTTGGAAAGATGTGACCAACCGTCTTTGTTCCTATTCCAGAGTCTGTAGGCCCTGTTCACCCACTGGGCACATCACCTGTCCTCTGCTGGGCAAGTCCCTGTCCATTCTCCCAGCCCTTCGAGACTGACGCTTCCAAACTCATGACGACACTCACATGTCCTCCTACATTAAAAAAAAAAAAAAAAGTCTTTTTAAAAATTGATTTTAGAGAGAGAGAGGAAGGGGAGAGAGAAACACTGATGTGGGAGCAAAACTTGGATTGGCTGCCTCCTGCACACCCGCTCCAGGGTACTGAACCCATAACCGGGCATGTGCCCTGACAGAATTGAACCCGAGACCTCTCGGTGCACAGGACGATGCCCAGCCAACTGAGCCACACCGGCCAGGGCGTCCTCCTACATTTTTGAAGGAAGTGCACCCATTATGCATGATATCCCTTAAATTTCTTCATTTCTCATCTTTAGGTAGAAGCATTTATAGCTACACCCATCCTCACTTCTTTGCCCCAAGTTTTGGGGAGGCAGTGCCCCTCTCTTCAGAAGCGCCCCCTTTCCGCTTGCTCTGGGACAACAATAATTCACAGATGTTTCCCGAAGCCTTCTGCTCCTTAAGCGAGGCTGCTCCGAATTGATCCCTCACAGATGAGGAAACTGGATGGGAGAAAACAAAGCTTCTCTTCGTTTTTGTTTTTGTGTGTTTTTTTTAAAAAACCCTCACCTGCACATATATTGTTTACTAATTTTAGAGAGAGGGGAAAGGAGAGGAAGAGAGAGAAACATCAATGGGCCGCCTCTCGCACACGCCCCCGGGGATCTAACCCGCAACATGGGCACGTGCCCCGACCCGGAATCGAACCCGAGACCCTCCTGTGCACAGGACAATGCCCCAACCACCTGAGCCACACGGGCCAGCGCTAGTTTTTGAGCTTTTGAATAACTCAGGGCATGACCCCAATTTGAGAGAATAAATAATGAGAGTAGAAAAGATCCCACAGACTCGCGCAGGGGAGACGAGGGGAAGCAAGAAGTGGGAAGGTGCCGTAGGTCCCTGGGAAGGGGGCCCATGCTGCGCCCCTCACCCAAGGGCAGGGCCCCTCGCAGGTCTGTGGGGTCAGAGGGCAGAGGGGGCCTGTGCCTCGCTTCCTGGGTAGTAAGACCTGGAAATGCTGCATCTGTGTCTGGGCGGGGAGGTGGTAGGGAGGCCCCCCCTTGTCTAGTGGGGTGTGGAGGTGAGTGGCTGTTTCCAGCATGTCTGGGGGTGGAGCGGGAGAGAGAGAAAGAGAAAGAGAGATTTCAGAAGAGAAAGACGGACAGTGCGGCAGAGAGGACAAGAGACAGCACCAGTGCAAGGAAACCGCGGCACCTCAGGGCATGCCACCCGCACGGAGACAGGGACTCGGTGTCCTTTTGCCTCCCGGGACTGTGTAAACTCCTGGAACTTAAACCCACCTGGAGCAAAGCTGGGGGAAGCCAGCTGGGGCTGACTTTCTTCCAGCTGGCACAAAGGGAGCCGAAAATAAACAGTCAGCCCTGGCCCGTGGCTCAGCAGTCAGAGCGTCAGCCCACAGACTGAAGGGTCCTGGGTTCCAGTCTGACCAAGGGCACATACCTCGATTGCAGGCTCTGATGCCCAGCCCCAGTCGGAGTGCGTGCAGGAGGCAACCAATGCATGTGCCTCTCTCACATCGGTGTCTCTCCCTCTCTCTCCCTTCCACTCTCTCTGAAAAGCAACAGACAAAATATGGATGATGAGGATAGGAAAAAAAAAGTTAAATTGAGCCCGGCCAGTGTGGCTCATCAGTTAAGCATTGACCTGGGGTCCAGGAGATCGTGGTTCGATTCCTGGTCAGGACACATTCCCAGGGTTTCTGGCTCAATCCCGAGCAGGAGGCGTGCAGGAGGCAGCTGATCAATGACTCTCCCTCTCCCTTCCTCTCTCTGAAATCATTAAAAACATATTTTATTTGATTTTAATCTTTTTTTCTGTTCAAAATATTACAGATGTCCCTTTTTCTCTCCATTGACCCCCTTCCACCCTCCTCCAACCCCCTCCCCAGTCCCTCTCCACACCATGGTCTGTGTCCTTGGGTTGTGCACATATACATATAGATTCTTTGGTTAATCTCTCCCCACCCACCTGTCGAACCCCGCCTTCCCTCTGAGATTCATTAGATCCATGCTTCCATGTCACTGAATCTGTTCTGTTCATCAGTTTATTATGTTCATCAGATTCCACATATGAGGGAGATCATATGGTATTTGTCTTTCTCTGCCTGGCTTATTTCACTTAGCGTAAGATTCTCCAGGTCCCTCCATACTGTCCCAAAGGGTACGAGATCCTTCTTCTTTACAGCTGCATAGTATTCCATGGTGTAGATATACCACAGCTTTTTATCCACTCATCTACTGATGGGCACTTGAGCTGCTTCCAGATCTTAGCTATTGTAAATTGTGCTGCTATGGACATAGGGAAAAACATATTTAAAAAAGAAGTTAAATTGAATTACAAAGAAATGGAGTTACATTTCTTCTCCACACCTCAGTCAGTTCATGCTCTTAAATTCCCTGCTGCTTCGTAAATCTACATAAACCAATAATAGCCTTTCTCCATTCTAGCAAAATAGAGAAAACAGATAGTAACAGGAAAAATATTCCAATCATAATAGTGGCAATAAAAAGAAAAGGCTTGGAAATAAATTTAACTGGAAGGGCACAAGACCTGTACGAAGAAAACAATAAATTCTTATGAAGGATATAAAACAAAATGTGAATATATGAAAGGGTATGACCTTGTCTAGGGACCAGAATGTGAGAGAAGCACTGCGGCTTGTGCCCAGCGGCGTGGGCCGTCTCTCCTCCGCCCCACAGGCGCCCGGGGAGGGCGAGGGCGGCCCCCAGGCCCCGCTGGGCTGTGGCCGGGCCGCGTCCTTTCTCGCCACGAGGCTGAGGGCGCTGAGCCGGGCCTGGGCCACGGAGCTTATTTTCTCTCCCTTCCCCTTGGCTTACCCTCCTGCTTTCTTCACTCGCTCTTCCTCAGCTTCCACAGCACTTTCCTTTTTCTTCTCTCATTTTAAATGTTTTCTTTATTTTGTTTGTTCTTTTTCTCATTTTTCCCTTTAGAATTTTGTTAGTTAGTATAGTGAGTATTGGTAGTTAGTATAATTAGCATTGTTAGTATTAGTTGTCATACTTAGTCTTGTTTGTTAGCATCGTTGGCATTGTTAGTATTGGTTACCATGGTCAGCATAGTTAACGTTGTTTGTTAGCGTAGTCAGCACTGCTAGCATTAGCCACCATGGTTAGCATTGTTAGCAGTTAGTAAGCACAGTTAGCACTGACGCTAGGCTTGTCAGTGCAGCAGCAAGTCGCCCTGTCTAATGACCCCGCGGCCCTCCGTGCTGACAAGGAGCCCATGCTGGCCATTCCGACCTCCTGAACTCTAGGGCCCAGGGAACCTTTGCCAAGGTGAGGTGGGCCTGGCACATTCAGATGGGGACCGAGGTGCTGTCGGAGTCATTAATCAGAGGGGCTCCTCTAGACCTTTTTGAGAAGTCCACTGTATGAAGGGATTAAATCACCCAAATTCCCAAGGTTGTTCGAGGTGATTGCCACCCGGGAAACATTGTTCCTCTCTGTGAGCATGTGAGCCGAGGGGCTTGTTTACTAACCGAGGCAGGACCCAGGAGGCCCGAGCCGTGTTCCTACGGCTGGTGTCAGCCGCGCAGTGCTGCCGCCAGAGGGCACTGTCCACAGGGCCTGAAGCCCGGACCGTATTGTGAGCTGAGCTGACTGGAAAACTTGCAGATTTTGGCCTTAGTGGGGAATTTATAGCGGCATAAACTGAGCACGTTCTGTGGCAGCCTCTTTTACGCCGCCCCACGGCTCTTCCTGCCCAAACCTATGCTGCCCGGGGTTGATGTATGAGCCCGGGCGGTTCTGTAGGGGACGGAGCCGGGGCGGTTCTGTAGGGGACGGAGCCGGGGCGGTTCTGTAGGGATGGAGCTGGGGGTGGTTCTGTAGGGGACGGAGCCAGGGTGGTTCTGTAGGGGACGGAGCCAGNCGGGCGGTTCTGTAGGGGACGGAGCCGGGATGGT